TTTGTATAAACAACTAGATCTAGAAGCCCCAGCTACCCCAAGTTCTATAATTTCAATAATTATCCATATGGTTGCCAGTAGATGTGTTAATCGTTTGCCTTAGGCAGCACAATGGCTACAAAGATTCATTAAAATTAATGATTCAAAGGCTAAGTTAGTTATTTACAACTCAAATATTAAGGGAAGCAGAGAAGATTAAAAACAAAGAAGCAAGAATGTAATAGGCGTTCTTTACAAACCAAATCTAAATCAACACCAAAAGCTGAAAGGGAAATAAGAGCTTCTAGATGGCTGCCCTTCGCAGCTTCATGAAGGGCTCCAAAGCCCCGTTTATCCTTTGCATCAATTGAACTTGAATCACATCTAAGAAGCATCGCCACAACTGTCCCACTTCCAGAAGCGCAGGCCTCCATAAGCGGCGTCCTCCCGGAATACTCAAATTCGCAAAGAGTTAAGGCAACAAAAAAGAATGCGTTTAAAAAATCAATAGGCGGAAGGCCAAAAAAAACACAAGGATGAGCTAAATTATGACCAAGTTTCTTTTCGATATTCCATAATGGAAAGTCTTCATAATTGGTTCTTAAGTTGCTACATAAAAAAGAATATGTGGATAGTGCTGACCTACTAAGAAAACGGTAACTAAAACGCAATAAGAATTTGATATCCAAAGCAAAAGAAACAATAGTAATTCAAAAATTTCAAAATAACATATAAAATATAATCAAAGATTTCGAATAATTAAATCGGTATCTTTAGTAAATCGACTTTTCAAAAGAAATGTTATTCACCTCAATATTTTAAATAGTATAAACATTATCCACAAGATTCAATGAAGATATCTGCCAATAAGCATAAATTTAATCTGTATTTAGGCTAAACTACCTTCCTTTGAATTATGAATGTCATTTATAGCATGATTTTCAAAGGCTATGCATCGTGACCAAGACATGATTGAACCTATTCAAAGCAAGTAAAACCACAACATTTGTGTATGATAAACAAGAGACTAAACCATAGGTCATCTACTTGGCACTATGGATAGAAGCACGATGGATGCGGCGGGAACTAGAGCTAGTTGGCTAACAATAAAGGTGTTTGATCATAGACCTGCTTAATGAAGCAAAGGCTTGACTATGAGAATTATTTGGGTTCTTTAGCCTCAAACCATCAAGCTTGAGAATCCCGATTTGTAGGGGCCTACTCAGCCAGGCGGGAGTATGCATATTTTCAAAGGCTTGAGACAGTGTGGGAAATAACGCATCGTGTAGTATAGATAGGGTAGCAGGTGTCGAGTGAAATACCTGAAATATGAAAAAAGGAGGCGGATCCTACGGGACAGGGGGGAGACTCCGATAAGACCTATGAAAAGAGGATTGCGGGAGGAGAGGACGGTAAAGCCAGCGTAGGATTTGGAGAGTTCTCATGAAATCCGCTAAAAAGGGCACACTATGCCATAATCAAATAAGAAATTGTGATAGTGAATGGGTGATACGAGGATATAGATTTGGTGATAGCCCAGGGCGGAAGGAGAGATACCACAATTTTTTAACAGACAATTGATGAAAGGATCGACTTTACTTGTCTCTTTGACGAGTTGTAGTATGGTGCTAAGAATGGCAAGGCTCAC